CCATTTAGTGTATTTTGGGATAAAATGTTGTTTACTGTATTTTGTTCACACAAAAATCTTATTTTTGTGTGAACAAAAATAAAGAAACAAAAATCTTATTTCCCTCCAGCAGTTCTTCAAATTGTTTTTGGCTGGTATGTTACTAAGTAAACCTCAGACAATTCCTCAGCATGTGTTCTTTATTGTGAGGATGAAGTTAATAATGGCATTTATAAAATTAACTGGAGAATTTTATACAATTTTCTAGTTAATATGCAACTCCTATGACTTTATATGAGTCAATCAAAGAGAATTTGGGTATTTTGCCCTCGGTGAAGCCATTCACAGGCCTACTGATTCTTTTATTTACTCATAAACAGGCTTCTTGTTGCTAAAGCTTCCATTGTTAACGCATATTTTTTATGGAAATCCGTAACAATTGACACAATGTATTTAAAAATGACTTAAATAAATCTCATCAAAGGCAATGCCGTTCCCAATATTTGAAACTTCCATATAAAAATAGATAAAAGCACCTGCTTCCCCCATTTGGCATGTATGGGAAATAAAAAGAGGGGGAGAAAAAGCAAAACTTTTGTGTGTGTGTGTGTGTTTTGTGAGTAACCTTAATGTCATCCTACTATCACAAGTCATTGTAGTCTCCCCCTTGCAGTACTGAAGGAAATCAAGCAATTAAGTACTTGTGAATACTTTGGGATAAAAAAGTTTTATGTGTAAAGAAAAATGAAAATTATTACAGGATGTAACTGCTCAAATTATTTTATTATCAACCTCAATCTCCTCTTTTGTTTTCTTTTCCTTTGTCCATCAGCCTCTTTCTTTGGCACACACAACACACACTATTCCAGTCCAGACATCCTGCTGTCAGGGCACCATGTTTACCACCGTGACCACAAAACAGGATGTGTTGTAACTTTGTAACATTGTTTAACACTGAGTTTATTTAACAAAAAAAAAAAAAAGAGTTGCTTGTACCTCAGCTCGGACGCATAGGAAGGGCTGAGGGGTTGCCATAGGAACATGCCATTCAAGTGGCTGTCAGGTGATGACAGAAAAACGGAGGATGACGGAAGGTGACAAAAAAAAAGTATTTTTAAAAAGTGCGTGAGAAAGTAGAACTAAGAAAAATGGCCATCTGGATGAAAAATGTAAAAGATATGGGGAAGCTAGAAGTCTCATGGAATGAGACTGAAAATGAAGGGAGACGTAGCAAATGAGAGGCAGATGTAGGAGAATGAACAAGCACTAAGTTATTAAACGTTCAGGCTGTCAGCAGTCTGCCTTTGCCCAGATTCTCACTCTTTGCTCTCACTTACAGTAGATAACAAGTCTGTCACCATAGGACTTACGGTGCCTGCTGGCTACAAAGAGATTCTGAGACGGCACACAGAGGAGGTCAGTGACTGAGTCTGACAAAGACGTAAACGGAGACCACAATGCTACTGCTTTGTGACGTTTTGGCTTGTGGACATACTTTTAAAAAATGTGCAGTACATTGCAGAAGCTTTCCTGTGCCCTGATTCTTTTCTGTGTTTTATTTGGATTTCTTCTGACAGTATGGAGAAAAGAAGAAATTAACACCAGAATGAAAGATATGACTGCTGTGGTGGTCATTTTAATTCAGCCCTCTTTACAGTGACGCCCCTAAAAAAAAAAATCCAGGATCACCAAATCCCCCTAGAAGTCACCATATTAGTAAACTGAGTCCCATGTAACAAACTTTGTAAAGCTAGATGTTCTATGAAGATCTAGGAAGTTTATTAGAGGACATTGGAAAACATCATCAATATAAAGACCAAGTGAGGAGACCGAAAAATTGCATGTATGATCAGTGGAAACCGTACCGGAGCTCAGCCATGACAAACTTTTTTCGCACTCTCAGAATAGGTTGTTGTGTGCAGAGTTTGAGGGAAACTAAAAAAAAATGATTTATGGCAATGGAAAGCAGAGAAAATGAAGTGTCTGTACAGTGAATTATGAAAGCGGCAATGATCAAGATGCACACAAGATGCCTCCATGATTGCAAACTGATCAAGTGGTAAAATAAGGTAGTTTCATTTGCAGGTTTTGGAAAAACAATGCGAGATTTTTGAGATGTTTAGAAATTTCCGTTGACTTTTTATCTAAACGAGTTTGAAAGTTTGGTGTGAGATTTTTGTCTAATTGGTGAGGTATTGTTTGAGACTGCAGGTCAGAGGAGGAACTTCGTGGAAGCAAGCATTAAGGCGGCCTCGGATGGCTGCCACAAGCAATATAATCTGCCATTTAAATTGGTTGCAGGAATATAATCCCAGAATTTTTTATTACCTGCACCTGATTGCTAGTCAAGAAGCAGAAGTCAACCTAAATTTGTAACAGAAAATTTGAAGAGGCTTTCAACAAAGATGCAGAAAAATGCTGGAAATCTAGTTTGTATGTTTCCTGGCATCTTACCAGTTATCGTTACACGTTTTAATCCATAACTTGGCATCCATGAAATTTTTTTTTAATAGAATTTTATAGATACCAGCCTTCAGGACACTATTTACGCCATGAGTTATATTTACAGAGCTCTGAAAAAGTATTTGAAATTTTAGAATCTTCCTTTTCTGTTTTCTCCTTTTGTGGATAGATAGATCTCACTTCTGTCCCAAAGCCTTAGAAAATTATTTGTAACCCTTTCCAGACTGAGGTGGATGCTTTTTTTTTTTCCTCATCTCCTCTTGAAGTTGTTGTCAGACAGGTTTAAGTGATTCTCGAGTCTACAGGTCTGACATTGATCAGGCCTGGATGTGTGTATGAAAAGGTATTGGGGGTAAATATTACTTTCTAGCATTTCTTGGATGTGCTTCTATTCGTACAATGGTATAACTCATTCACATACATGTCCAAGGACGTTACATTTTCTAGTTAGTCAGACGCGCTTTAACAAACTTGCTCTGAGTCTGTGAAACTTTCATCACCACCGTTCCCACCCACTCCACCCTTCCCTTCAGGGTCAGAGAGGAAGAAAGAGTGACTATTCTTAAAGCAAACATGTTTCCTCATGCACAGGACAGAGCAGTTTTTGTGCAATGGATTTTGTTTTGTATGCGTCTTAATTCTGTTTGTGTAACATTTTCACTTCTCTTTGGCACCGATCACCTCTGTGTCAAAGTAAACTGTGATCAAGCAAACTCTTAAGGCAAGACGTTTCTCCGTCAACGCTAAAGTGCAGTCCCCAGTTTGAGATGCAGTCTCACACCGACTTTGCCAGTGCAGTTGTTGTACTGTTTCATGTTTTAAATAGTTACATTTTAGTACAGCAAGTACTCGTAGTAAAAACAAATCAAAGTGCCAGGATGTAAAAGGTGAAGATTTGAAATATGCGTTGCTGCAGAAACACTGGTGATCATTATTTCACAGCAAAAAGAGAGGAGAGGGAGAATACCCAGAAAGTAATTTTGCACAAATATTGTGGAGGAAGGGAGCCACAGTAAACCACCTGATAAATATGCCTTTGAGAAACATCATTGTTCAGACAGACAATAAAATAACTACTTAGAAAGAGGAGGGGGAAATTCTAAATGAGGATGGAGACCTGATATACATGCAAATCTGAAGAACGGAGCATTCGATGTTAAGGTGCAACGTCTCTCCTAGGCTGCCTTTACCTGGTTTGGGTTGTTGTGCTTCCTCTTTCCAGTGTGTTAATGACTTCTTTATTAATGAGTGTTTTGCACAGCCACATACAGATACACACAGTGTGTGTGTGTGTGTGTGTGTGTGTGTGTGTGTGTGTGTGTGTGTGTGTGTGTGTGTGTGTGTGTCACTGTGCTGCCACACTGACCCAGTCTGCAAGATGTGAGCTTGCCTCCCTTTCTGCCATAAAGTTTCTGCTCGCACACACAGGTGCTGATGGTAGGTTCAGTTGTGCTGACACAGATTTGACCCAGTGCACCATTTAATTAAAAATGAAAAATACACTTTAAATCTGAAGCAGAAATGCTCAAGCTTACTCTATCCATTCTGTTGAGTTGATCCAGTCAGAGTTAAGTTGAGATAAGATTAAACGGCTAACGGTGTCTTTTTGTATCTGACATGGTGAGGAGTTTGTCAAGGAGGTCAGCATTTACCTCCTTCCATCATTTATCCACTCAGTCTGCCTTTAGTAGGTTTAGCGCTTAAGCTAATGTCTATACTTAAAAACTATTGTTGAAAGAAAGCACTCTTTTTATTTGCTTGTGTAAATGTTGCCAAATACAATGTATTTAAGGTGTATGCACTACCTGTTTGAGGCGGGGGGGGAGTAATTTTAATTTGTAAATGCAAATCCTGTGAACTACATTTTTTCTTTCTTAGTTCCTTAGATTTCAGTGAGCTTTTCCTGACTCCTTTCTGACCTTTTCCTTCTTCTGTGCCAGCCACTCTTTGAGAGCCTTAGAGTCTCAACTTTTAAAAATGGACATAAAGTGTGAGCAATAAAGATAGTGAAAGTATTACAGGGCTAATTTATTATTGTCTGCATAGCAAAATATAATATCCCACAAATGGCGACCAACTTTGAGATTGCGATTTTGCTCACACCGACATTGCCATGACAATCACTCTTCAAAATGCTAGTTACAAAGTATTTCCACTTAACTTTATTCAACCTCTGAATATTCAATTTTAATTTCATTATTTGTGTTTGTCACGGCATCAAGTGTAATCTTCTCTCTGAATTATTAGAAAGGTATTGCGTTATCCTGCTTTTTATGAAATTCGCTCTTGTTGTGCTTGTGCTTTCAGGCTCTCCAGAAGTTAGCAAGTCAGTACCTGAAGAGAGACTGGCCTGGAATCAGCCCCGACGACCAGAGAACAGATTATAGGTGGGTTTGCCTTTATTTTGTTCCGTACAAGAAACTGGATTCGCATAAGTAATTTTAACTTTGACAGAGTATCTTTTTTTTTTAACTCAGTTTAAACTGAGTTATTGAGACAATACCTGAATGTTGCCAAATGTTATCTAAAATAGAGCTAAAATCAAATCTCTGAGAAAGATACCTAGATCTTTACTGTGTTAAAAACAGAAAATGCATTCATATGTCCGATTAAAAAGCTGCTCATTCATCTGCTCTGTTCAGCTGAAAACCTAATTAGATGAACATATCTGCCAAATACACCAATACACCACAGAAGAACAACAATTACAACTCAGTTTTTTGAGTAGTATCTGATATATATATATATATATATATATATATATATATATATATATATATATATATATATATTAAAAATCTACCTAGTTTACTACACAAACTATTTATCCTTCACACTGTGCCAAATCAGGCCCTCCTGATGGAAATGGCTCTTGGAGGTGTACACTGTCTTTGTTTCTCCAACCAGGAATGTGTACGCTGTTTGGAGAGCCTACTTAGAGGGAACTGTTCAGGTGAGCCAGTCGAGACTGAATGTATGTGACAACTACAAGAGTCAAATATCAGAACCTGCCAAGACCGTTAGACTCTATAAGGAGCAGCAGCTCAAGAAGGTGAGTCAATGTGCAGAAGTGCGAGTCAAACTTTGTTCTCCTTTACTCTTAAATTGTATTAAGCTTTTCCTTCACATGATTAAGAAAGAGCTTAATCATGGTGATTAACCTCTTTCTTTGGCAACTCAACTTTCACTCTGCTTGCTCCTCACAGACCATTGATCAGCTGAGTGGCATTCAAGCAGAGCTGCAGGAGTCGGTGAAGGAGTTGGCGAAAGCCAAGAAGAAATACTATGACTGCGAGCAGGTTGCGCACGCCGTACGAGAGAAGGCCGACATAGAGGCCAAGTAAGTTTAGGAAGGCGCTGCGTCTATCAGGAGAGCTTCTGTAAAAAAAAAAAAAAAAAAAAAAAAAGTAAATAAATTCACACTGTATGATGCACATATCTTTTATTTTTTCTTGCCTTTTGAGGCTAACAGGATTTTTCATTGCAAAGCCAACTGAGCAGAAGAGCATCTGAGGCTTTGCCATCTCACAATTAGTTCCAGATTTTGACTTGGTGCTGATGAGTGTTGCTTTCCTGCCACCTCTTGGTAGCGGTAGCTATGGTGACATTTTCACTTCACTGAGTTCTCAGCTCTGGCTAGCGCTCGCATCGATTGGATGATCTGTTCTTTATTACTTCGTAGAAAGCCAGAGGCAGCGGAAACGCTTTTAAGAAAGGGCGATGATGAGAAACTGAAATTTCACAGGCGCAATCTTTGTACTTGAAAGTGCAAAGATCAGAGGAGAGTGGATAAGTGACATTATAAAAAGGTGGAAACGGATGGACAAAAACAAATGGATAAAAACAAACCTGATTTTATGACAGAAGTCTCTATATTTCACCATTAATCATAATGTATAGACAAAATCTGTTCTTATCTGTCTTATTTTGTTCTTTCAGGTCCAAACTTGGACTTTTTCAATCAAGAATTAGTTTACAGAAGGCAAGTGTGAAGGTAAGAGGGTCTCACTATGAATGTTAATGCCCTTGCCCAATTCCCCGCCCACCTCAGACAGACGTGATTTAACACCTTAAATATCTCATCGTATTTAACGTTGCCTCTTTGTGAAACAAAAAGCTATTTATGTTTAGCAAAAACACCATGTTATAACTGCATTTTCCCATCTGCTCAGATATTATCTGTCTGCTACTGAAGTTTGTTTGGTGATCTAAAACATTTTAGTGAAAAAAAAAAGCACAAAAATTCTGATGTTCTTTTTTTTATTGCAGTTGAAAGCAAAGAGGAGTGATTGTAACTCCAAAGCGACACAGGCCAGGAATGACTACCTGCTAACGCTAGCTGCTGCAAACGCCCATCATGACCGCTACTATCACACAGACCTGCTGCACTGCATACAGGTACATACCTAAAGATGAATTAAGAGCTGAAATTTCAGGGTTTGTGATAAGAAGATATTAGATTGAGAAGAATTTTGAATTTAATCCTTAGCTTCAAAAAACAAATATTTATGTAACTGTTGTTAACCATTTCAATTAATATGCCTCCTTGAGTCTGACCAAACACTTTGAGATGGAAAGTGTGCGTGTTTGATCTGGATACTGTTTTTTTTTATTATTTTAAAACCAAAAGTTGACAAAATTATACAAGTAGATAAATATTTGTTCAGCAAGGCCTTTTGACCTAAACTCATTTGTTTTTAGGGGCAAAACTGAGTTATATGATTGCCATAACACCTATCCATAGACTGATGAGTGGAGTAAGAGAAAATCTAAATGAAAAAAAACCAACAAAAAAAAGAGTGAAGTTTGTTTTGCTACATCAACATTTCTACTGCCGACTTTAGACTTAAAACCTAGAAGGAGTTTTTCATTCAGCAGAGAGGAAATATTTCCAGGTTCCAAGCTCAAATTGGACATCGTTATTTTTTTTAGGAAAGCATCTTCATGGTTAATCTGCAAACTGCCAGAAACCAATATGAAGAAAATAGGCTGAAGGGAAAAATTGTGCCTAAAAAAAGTGATGATATCACAGTTTTTGAGGCTCTAAAGAGAGTTGCAGTCTTCCAGGGTGTTATGATTTGAAATTCATATGCGAGAAAAAAAAAAGAGCTGTATAAGGGGTTTTGATTCCTGCGATTGTCATAGCAATGGTTGGTTAAAAATGAGAATGTTCATAATCTTAGGTTTTGGGTAGTTTATTACTGAAACGAGTAGTTAATTGAACTCTTAGTAGTGAATGCATCTCCTTTGAATCAGGTTCACTGACTGAGACACTTTCTTCCTGCTCGTTGCTGAACAAACATGCAAATTACATGACTAATAAAGTGACTCGAGAAGTAAGTTCAGCTTTGTGAATCGAAACATTTCCGAGAACCCATTTCTAGCTTTCAGCCTTGCTTCAGTTTCTCTCTGACACACTGGCCCTCAGGCACGTACAGTGTGAGCATCTCCACTTGGAGGCCTCCCTGAATAATAGATCCTCAGTGCACTGCAACAGAAGGACAGAACTGCAGGGAAGTATGGATGCACACAAATGTGTTCACGCAAACACACAATAAGAATAGGGGGACACTGCTAGGAGGAAGAAAGCTGTTCCTGCTCTCTGCTTATCTTTCTTCTTTTAGTTGTGGAGGTTAGACGATGTCACATGAAATTCTGTGATAAATTGCGGTTTTGAGAAGTGGTACCAAACGGACAAAGCCATTACCTCAGCTTTCTTTTGTTACTTTGTTTGTGCAGTAAAGCCTGGCAATATATGCTTTTAGAGTCTTGAACTTTTGCGGTGGCTTGCAGAGTTTTGTGCAGCTTGTCACATTACAACCACTAACTTTACTGTGTTTTAGTGGGGATTTTGTGATAGACCAACACAAAGTTGTAAAAGTGAAAGAAAAATGATATCTGGTTTTCAAATTGTTTAAAATAAAAAAAAAATTAACAGCTTTGCTTTTGTGTTCAGCCCCATGTAGTCTAGTATATTTTAGCATCATAATAAATCCAGATGGTTTTTGAATGCTCTCAGAGGTTTGTTAGAGGACATTATTGAACAAAATAACACCCTCTATACTCTAAATATATAAATACTGCTCAATCCTGGGGAAAAAAAAAACAAAAACTGTTTAAAGCTATGAAACATTTGAAACTAAAGCCGATGTTCACCTTCCAACAGGATAAAACCCCTATCATACAGTCTGGGCCACAATAGGATAGTTTAGATTAAATTATTTAATTAATAGCCTCAACCTAAATACAATTGAGAATCTAAGATAGTACTTGGTATTAGTTGTTCAGAGACACTCCATGCAGTCTGACTGATCATGTGCTAGATTGTAAACAAGATGGGGGAAAAACATCAATGTTTAGATTTGAAGCTGTTAGAGTTGCATCCTGTCAAAGGCTGCTATTTAGTATTGCCATTGAGTTGCTAAATACGTACCCCACACTTTTCAGATTTGCATTTGTAGAAAGTGTTAGAAACCATGTACTCTTTTCCTTTGTCTTTATATTTATGTACTGGTATTTGTTTTCGTATCGCATGAAATCCCAATAAAACACATTAAAGTTTGCAACTGTACAATGAAAAAAACGAAGAAGAAAAAAACGCAAGTGGCTCGAATGCTTTCGCCAGGCACTGTACAGAGGTTTGTTTTGATATATTTAATTTGACTATCATTTTTCCAGTTATTTAATTTCAATATGAATCTGTTACCATTTATTCATGAGCTATGTTTTCATTTTATAACACCACTTTTGTAAGGCACTGTATCAGGAGATGTGGCAGAGGGAAAGTTGTTGCTGATTTAATTAGAACAAAAATCTATTAAAGCTGAAATGTTTTCTTCAACAAAATAAAACTACATCATCTATCAATTTCTCTTACATACGTGACAGAAAACAAGGGTTTTAGGTACAAGATGTATGAGAAAGCCTGCATAGCTTCTTTTAATTGTTTAAATTCAAATATTCTCCTGTTCTGACATCTGGCTGCAGCAATGTCTTACATCCTAAACATAAACACTGTTGTCCTTGTTGATGCAACAGCTGTAGTAGGAGGTCAGGAGCAGCTCCACGTCTCCCTCTGCTGGTCAAAGCTGGTGCCAATAGTTACATTTTGCACCTCTGCTCTCCTGTGTGCTCTCTGCTTCGTTCGGGCCAATGCAGTTGCTCGCCTAAAAACACACGCACACACACACACCCACACACACACGCCGTCCAACTGGCAGCTGTGCCGGGTCTGAGCTTTTTCTGGAAGCTGACTCACTTTGTTTCAGCGCTACCATAAATGGCTAAAAAGAGGAGGGGAGGACGGGAAGAAAGGGCGAGAAGGAAATGACCAGACTGATGAGGGAACAAGCGGAGTGAAGTCAGCCAACTGCCCACCCTTGATGACATAATTTACTTGTCAATATCCTATTGTTTTATGAAACTGTGGTGTGTGTGTGTGTGAAAACATGTGGGTGATTTTAATTTTGTACAGCAGCATCTCGGAGTGCTTTATAAGGATATCAGAAACACTAAGTCAAATAAAAGGGAAAATTAAATAGTTTGGACATCATAATTTAAAACAGATCAAATCAAATATTGTAGTGTTTTCCTTTGAAGACTCAGGCTTCTGACGGCATTTGGCAAGTCATTTGGCCAGATTTGTTTATGTGTGCCTTGACTATTTGAAAGCCGAAGTGTGAGTTAGTGTGTGGTCACTCTGTCGAACTCCCTTACCTTCCTCTGCAGCTGTGTGAACTCCACACATCTCCTAGAAAAACTCTCACCCTTTACTTTCTTTTCTCTCACCAAATAATGCTGTTAATACCTCCTCAGTTGCTCCCCCCTTCTCTCTCCACAGAGCTCCAGTCTTTTCTTTTTCCCGCTGGCTGATTTGTGTGTTTGGCAGTGTGGCCTTCTCCTTGGCTGATCACTTGAGCCTCATACCTCATTAAAATGTCCTTCTGTCTCCTAATGGTTGCTGTCAAGTGAAAACAGCTGCTTGGTTTTCTTTCTTACTTATATTCCTCTTTCTTACAAATGCGACACAAAGGAAATGAACAAGCTTTTCGAGGGTATACAATTAACTGCCAAAAAGCATCGTTACTACAAAGAAACGATTGACCAAACGCAAATTTCCTTACTTTTCTCGCCAAGTATGCGATACAAAATATTCTGAAAGTATACTGAACTAACACTCTTCTCAGTGTAAACCTGTTATCTTTTTCTTTGTCTGTCCTCCAGGCCTTGGATGGGAGAATCTATGAGCATGTGAAGGACTACCTGGTGGCTTTGTGCCGCACTGAGCTGGAGGCCTCGCAGGCCACTCACAGCACCTTCCAGTTCCTCTTAGAAAAATCTTCCAGGGTGAGTCAAATCAGTTTAGAAGTTCATTTTAGGATGAAGGAACGGAGATCAAAAGGGTCGTGGTGTATAAAATCAAATCATCGGTGGATTTTATCTGTTGCATACTCTGTAAATGTCTGTGAAATTCAGTGGGAGTGGTTGGATTTCAATGTGATGTTTTCAAACAAAACCATAGACCTGCTGTCTCGTGACTTAATGTTCACTCAACGTATGAACTGCAGAGGAGGATAAACTATACCATAGTCTGTCCAAAAACGTTTTACCTTCCTACCAAGGTGGTTTTCATAGTAGATTTGTAAACATTTCTGCCTGATTTGGCTCCTTCATTTTGCAGTGGAATCACTTAAAGGGTGCATTCACACCGCACAGTTTAGTCGGCTTTAATCAAACTCTGGTTCACTTGCCTAGAAGGTGTGATTTGCTTGAGGAGGTGAATGATGCAGAACAAAAAAAAAAAGCAATCTCTGGTTCGTCTAAAAATCTAGGTATCGGTTCGGTTGAAGTGTATTCACCGCGGTTTAAATGCTTATGACGGTGCAAGTGGACCAGAAATCCACTATAAAAGGAGGCTAGCACAGGGCATTCTGGTTAAATGCAGCCAAAACAAAAGCGATAGTCTAGCACAAGAGGTACTATCAAAGACAAAAGAGAAAAATCCTACTACAGCTAAAATCTGACGCCACTCCATTTAGTTTGTTTTGTGAAGAAGGAAATTGTCCTCATGTCTTCTTCAGACGTTTCATGTTGTTTCCTTCACTGGTTCTTGATGCAGCACCACTAAACCTTTTAAATGAGTCTACCAGACATCCAGAGACAACCTAGAGTCTAGAATCAGCATCTAAAGCTTCCCATTATTATTTGCCATAGTATTGGCTCAACGATGTGTCCCCACCTGCAAAACCAACTTCCAGAGTTCTCAGTATTTAAAGGACATACAAGAAACTACTCGTGTTACAGTAACGTGGTTTAATGAGTCAAGCTCAGCAGTCTTGCACACATAGGTAATATTATTTTAGAAAACGCCTATCTTATTTGTTCAGCTTTTCTTTCACACAAAACAATTTTTGTTCTCCGAAAATGTACCTCCTGAAAAACCTTTTCCAGAAATGTTCTCACTTACTGTGCATGCGGTCTATTTACACACTAATATTAGTAATTTATGCACAAATATTAAGATAATAACAAGTGGAAAATAGTCTTGCAAGTAAATAAGAAGCCTTATCTGGATGTTTTCTTTAGTAATCAAACAGAAAAGAAAAGCTTATAAAAAGCTTAGACATCTACATTCAAAACCTTTTGCATGAAATCCAACAGATGCTCCATTCGTCGAATACCACTGAGGTGATGGTCAAAAACGTCCAGCTCAGACTTGAAGTACAATTGTGAAGCACTTACCTTGTGTAATCTTGAGTAAAAAGGTTTTGGCGTTTCCTCCCTGCCCAGAAATCAGCAGCTGGAGTTAGTTTAGAGTTACTGAAGCTCCATCCGACTGCAGCACGGTCAAAATGAAAGCATTAATAGTCTGCTCTTGTTTCTTCCTCAGATAATACAGGAGTTCAACCAGCAGTTGTTCATGCAAGAGAACCCCGTGTTTCACAAGGCGCACGACTTCCAGTTCCAGGCCAGCGAATATGACATGGTGAGAGTCCCAAAGCTGTACGCACTGATGATGCATTAATACCTGGTCACGTTAAAGTTTGCTCTTTTGTTGTTTGTTTATAAACCAGTTTGCAGCAGGACAGTAACTCTATATCGTGTAAAACAACAAATTGTGACTCTCTCTCAGACGCTTCACATGAAGTCAGCCTCCTCATTTGCCAGATGTGGCATATCTGATCTGCAATATCACATTTCTTTGTGTACGCTGAAGATCATAGAGAACTGCATTAATACAAAAGAGACTGAGAAGCAACTCTGATCAGTCTCACTTGTGCATTCTTTATACTACACACACAAGATGGGAGCGATCGAGCTAAACTGTGTCTGGTGACAACTGGACAGAAACATGAATCACCTCTTTGTTCTAAGTTTAATATTAAATACTGTTTGTCCATCGGGAGCTTATCTTTTTAGTTCTTTAATCTTTTATATATATATATTTGGCTAAAAATCTTTTAAATTCAACTGGTTGTTGGGTGTTAAAAATGTTTAAGAATTTTGTCAAATGATCAGAGGCTTTGTGAATAAATCATCCAGAGCTGTGCTGTTTCACTCCCTTGGGATCTTGTTAAGTATTTTATGGTTACAATGAAAAATGTGTCTGTAGACAAAGTTCCTAATTCCACTGTGGCACATTCCCAGAGTCCATTTCTCTTCTGTGTGAGTCACTTTGTGCTCTCGTGTTTCTCATCTACTTTTTGTGCCTCTTCTGCCAGTTTCTCAGTCCTTGTGTAAACCTTTTCTTCACTGCCATGCCAAATTATTTATACCTCTTGGTCTTTTTGTTTGACATTTTTTACCATTGTGACCACAAACTTTATTGTATTTTATTGGAATTTTATGTGATGGTTCAACAGGAAAATAGTGTGTAACTGGGAAGTGGAAGGAAAAGGGTACATGTCATCTAAAATTCAAACATTTCAAGATTGTGCTTTGAGATTGTAATCATCCCTATCAATCATCCCCAGATGTCCAATCAACTTTGGACATCTGGAGACTAAAATTATCATCCATTCCTAATTGCAAAAGAACATCTGTGAAGATGAGTTCCCAAGTCTTGGTGCAGATTCTCTGTTGAGTTGCAGTCCAGCTTTGGACTGGGGAACTCAAACACATGAATATGCTTTGATCTGGACCAATGCGCTGTACCTCTGACTGTATGTTTTCGGCTTGGTTCCTGTTGGAAGCTGCCTTTCTGTGCTTAAGTCTTTTACAGCCTCTAATAAGGTTTGTTCCTGCGATGCCCTTTACTCAGCTTAAGTCATACATCATTTTCCTCCTTCTACTCAGTTATGGGCTACTTTAGTCAATCAAATAAAATTCCAATAAGAAAAAAAAAAGCATTTATGCTTGTGGTTATAATATAACAAAAAACTAACAAGTTCAACAGGTATGAACATTTTATCAAGCAGCTGTATTTCTGCATAAACAATGCTCTAATCCTGCCATGTATTTCCCAGTTTTTCAACATTTTCTAACACTTGTACCCTGATCTATTTTCTTCCTGATTAACCCCTCCCTGACTATGTGTGCTTTCACTGCTGCTGCTCTTGTGTGCGTGTGTGTGTTTGGATGCCTCCTGTCTATGTGTGTGCCTCTCTGTGGAGCGTGCTGCAGACTCTGAGCTCGGTGCAGCAGCTGGTGGACATTGAGCCGTCGCCCGTCAGTGCCATGAGAATGACCCTGGCACAGGTAGTTTTATCAGCTGCTAGCATTCCCATCCTCATTCCTGACACAAACCACCCACACCACCATCATCAGATCTGTCTGCTGTTGTGGTAATGCTGTATGTACTTGAACAAGTATTCAAGCTGTAGTAGTCAACTAAAGCTTTACTGAAAGCTTAGTTAGTTGCCTCAAGTGATTTTCCTCCTGGGCACAGATTTTGACTGCCTAGGTAATTATTAAATTCAATTAATTTGCTCTGAATGGATGAAACTAAGGATGATGTTCTAGCTTCTCTTGCCAGCTTCAGCACAGACGGAACTGCTAGTGTTGCCATGTAAAACATGTTTGTATGGAATTACTTTAGAAGCATTATTTTTTTTATGGTGAAAGCCTGTACTGTATTAGAGAATGATGGAGTTTTGTTAAAACCACTTTTTTTTCTTCCCTTTCCTCTTTGTCACTATGCTGTTTGTAGTCTTAAGGACATTTAGCATCTTGGGGCCAGTTCCAGTTACGAAACCCTGGACGTTTGTGCTGAAACTCATTTTTCAGAAACTTCAATTTACCCACGTAGGACTCAAAGAGTTTCCAGTGTGAGGTCCAAAACAGATCCTCCATGTCTATAAAAACCCCAGGCGGAAACTCCCACTGCTGTGGTGTCCCACTCAGCAGCTTCTAGTGGGAGAAAAACTTTCATGGCAAAATTTAAAAGGCAGGATTTTAAGCAGTAAAACTGTAATTGATGATTATGGCTCAGCAGCTACTATTCTTTGTAACTTGGATGAAACCACCTCTCAAAGTTCAATGGGAAGGTGTAGCTTTGGCCAATTTTAAAGGGACTTTATTGCCTCAAACATTTTGGGTTAGTTACTTTAGAAGCACAAGAGAAAAACCAGTAGTAGTCAGGATTACAACCAGGGCATAAACTTGTGATCATTTTACTGTGTTTACACTGTGAGGCTGTCCATTTCATATAAGAGGAAGTTGTAACATTTAGTCTGACAGATGTGTCAAGCAAAATATACAGAGGAGCAGCACATCAGTTGTTTGGTGTTGAGGCTCGAGGTGAAACCATCTTCAGTGGATCGATTAGCTTTGTAGTCAAGCTGCTGCTCATCAACGTCTGGGGTGACAGAGGCTCTGCTGTGATCCAGAAGCAGTCTGTCAAAGCATTTCGTAACTTTTACTGCATATCCTTGCAAGATGCAGGCTTACAAAAAAAATGTCTCTTAAGACAGAGATCTCTTGTTTTTTGTATTCCTTTCTGTTCTTCCTCTGTATTGAACCTCCATTGAAATCCAACAGAATGAAAAGTCAAAACTGTTTGTTCTTATTTTGGGGAATTATTTTTTGTGTGTGTGTGTGTGTTCAAAGAAGTTACAGACTCGGAAGACATGAGCTGCGGTCTGCACAGTCATATAGTGCCCAACACAAAAAGGTCAAGCCTCCTAAAGGGATGCCATAGATCAAAAATTGGTCTTTGCTGGTGTTTTGTGCAGCATTATTCAATGTAGAGACAAAAAGCAGTCAGAGTAAAAGTACTCATAGTCTACCGCAGACACTCTGGAGTCTCGAGCCCCATTTGCTTTAAAAGGAATCCATTAAAACAGCTCTTATAGAAATGATGATGCCCTGAGTTAAGTGTGATGCATGTCTTGTTCATTGTGATAAATTCTGTTTGTTTGGGCAGCGCTGCAGCTCCACCAGCTGTGGTGACAGATTCCTTTTTTTTTTTTTTTTCCCTGGGAAAACAGGACAAGACTTTGTGAGCTCTAAATGTTCCAATTAAAAATGGGTGTTGATACTTAGCACCACAATCTAGGGTTTTTCTATTCGGGGCTGCTGTTTACTCAAAATATGATTAAAAACTAAACCTACACATGGTCAGAATGAGAGGATGACACGCAACAAGCAGCAATCTTCAATGAATGTTTACACTTTTAAATTGAAGCCTGAGTCAGCAGATTCATTACTGCCCATTAACGCACACTACTGTTTAACCGCGTGCCTCGCCATCTCTTTAACCACTGTTATTTTGACACACTAATCCAAATGAGTGTTATTATGACAGCTGAGCTTTTTATGGGAGTGCAGTATAACTCAAAATGCTTTGAACCATCCAAGTAGTTGGTGTCCTCCACCACCAAATGAGTGAAATGCCTCAAAACAACTTTGTCTTTCAATTTAGCTGCATAATCTCGCATTGAAAAAAAAACAAAAAAAAAACTTCAATTTGAAAAACATTATTCAAAGGAGAATAAAAATAATCTATTTTTGAAATTAGTGTGATTGATTAGATTGATTAGAGTCAGAGGGACTTTTCAATTAGTAAGAGAAATCAACTTTTCAGCTAGGCAAAAACAATGGATTGAAATTCCACTCATAAATATTTTGTACTTATAACTATTTATATGTAATTGTGAATTGAGTTTTGTAACCTTGTAAAATAAAATAGTTGAGAATTTCACTTTTTGTGCATCCATAGACGAGAACCGATGTGTGTAAAATGATTTGTATTTGTAAAGAATAACACAGGTTATGTTTGTTTTGTTAAGGTCTTTTTACAGATACTAAAACTATGTCTAAAACTCTGTTAAGTTCTCTCAAATTCACAGAGAAAACTTGTTGCAAGTGCTTCAAGATGCAAGTACAAATTTTGACCTGGATTTTCTCGCACGTAAACAAACTCAATAGCTCCAAGGTGATGCAAAAACTGACAAACCTGAATTCATTGATCTCCTACTTTGTAATAAGATTTTTATGTAAAATTATGGATTTTTTTCCCCCCATAATGGAGTCAGACATCAGACTTGACCTACAATCAGGTCCTGCAACAGCTAAACCAAAATGTAATTTTTTTTGTTTTTCAGATTTGTTCATGCTCTTGTGGCCTTCATTAAATAGTACATAGACAGGTTTTCTAAAACTGTTGCAGAAGGAGAACCTGAAAACAGCACTGTCCTCAAGGAGGAGCCTTAAATATTTTCTGCACCAGCATAACCTTTTTTTTCTTTTCTTTTTTTTTCTGCATTCAGAAAGCTTATAGAAATTGGCCCAATAATTTCAGCACGCTGGTAAGGAACAAATTAGCTGACCCTCTTTCCGTGGCATTTTATCTCACTGCCACTGTTTTTAATCTAGAGATCTGCTTTGGTCCCTTAACTCCCCTTGAATCTCCAGCGCCCAAATGTAATTAAGCTGTAAATCTCCTGTGTAATACTTTCAGCTTCACACCTATACTTAGCTGGATTAATGCCCCAGTGTTACTGAATCAGCACTTAATTAAAAGGTCTGACTTGCATGAAAAGACACAGTTAAAATATTCTGTACAAGAGCATGACGCATATTTATTATCAAATTATGGGAACCCCATCTTATGTGGTTTATGAACACAGATTAGTTATTAACACCTGTGCATCCCCAGGCTCAGTTGGCATAGTTTTTTGTTTTTTTTTGGCTTTCACAGCTTTTTATTTCAGATTTCTTTTCGGTTTTTGACACATAAGTACCACATTTTTTTAGATATATTTGTAAATGTAAGAAGCTCTTAGTAATGACTAGTTTTACTTATTTTATCAATGGTAAGTAATTGAGACATTTGGTTGTAGTTTCCTGCCTGCATTTGTTTAAAACACATCAAAGCAGCATATAAACAGAACTGGACTGTTTCTCTTCAGCTCCTGCTCTCTTCATTTGTTGCTGTGCACACAAATGCGCACGCTTGCATTCTTCACACACTCAGTCTTCCACATGCGGTTTTAATAGCAGCTATTTTGATCTGTGAGGATAACAACAAAGCTTTGCAACACATGGTGTATTAATTATTTGAGAAGGAAACATTCACGCTCACATTTTCCTCAGCTTAATTACTAGCCTCAGCATAATCACACGCCTTGAGCGTCTACAGTGCAAAGTACAGAATCCAAATCCCTTGACATTTTAAACATCTGATCACGCTGCAGCCTTAAACATAACTAGTGCGTTTTATTGTGGTTTTGTGCGGTAGACCAACATAAAGTAGTACATTATTGTGATGTGGAAGATTAGAATGAACACATTTTCACCTAAACCTTTCAGTTATGTTGACTTGTGAATGCAATTGCCTTTACTGGATTTTACTTTTGGGTGTAATGCAATGTGGGCTAAACAGAGATGCATGCCACACATTTCAGATTGTAAGGCAATTTGAAAACTATGTCTCATTTTCCTCCCACTTCACAATTAAGCACTACAACGTATTGCTCTGCCACATAAAATCCCAATGAAATACATTGATGTTTGAAGCTATAATATGGCAAAGTATGAAAAGGTTCAGTGAGTATTCATTATTTTCCCTGGAACTGTAATGTTGGCTTTGTACTCATGTTTGTTTTCATGCCGTTGGCTGGATGTGTGTGTATTTACTTATGTGTGTTTCTTTGTGTGGCTGTGTGTACCAGAGCCGTCAGCTGGAGTCGGAGTCCGGAACGACCGAGGAGCACAGTCTGAACAAAGAGGCCAGAAAATGGGCAACCAGAGTGGCCAGAGAGCACAAGAATATTATTCACTGCAAGCGAGTAAGGCCAAAAATGTTGCAAAACATGAAGTTATTAAACTCTGCCAAGTTTATTTTTGATGTTAACAAAAGCACAAACACACACCTCTAAAGCAAATGTCTTTCGTTTAGTCTCTGGAAGAGTGTGAAAGTCATGGCCTGCCTCCCACTGAGCAGGGCAGACTAGATCTGGAGCTGAAGATCGAAGACACCAAAGAGATAATGCGGAAAGCTGAGGTGTGTAACTCCAATGAGATTTAATTCCTGCTTTTCAGGATTTGTCTTTTCACTTTATATTGTGTGCGGTTTTTGGGATCTGATGGCTTTACGCTGACACTTTTACAACATGTAACATCAAATGAATTACAAAAACACTAAAACAGGACTTGACAGCTATATAGGAGCATTTATTCTGAGCTGGTCTGTCACAGAAGATTTGATCTGTTGGGCTCCTGGCAAACAATAAACTCAAACTCTTTGCCTTTAGCAGCATCAGTTTGAATGACCTATGTAGACATACTGTCAAGAATAAAGTATAAAACAGTATTTAGAGAGTTTTATTTGAATTTGTACGCTGATGCTGAAATACTAAATGATGCAGATATCACAAATAAGTTTTGTTTCTCCAGCACCCATTGCAAATATAAGCATTCTACTCTTGTGTTCCTGCCACCTGCTAACTAGTCTTTGACCATATGGATGCAAATATGGTGGCTTCCTTCCTAACAATCGACTAATCACTTAGTTTAATCCTCCTAATCACCCAGACGAAAGTCAAAACTGTGATTCATGTCAGAGAAATTTAAATGTGAAAACAAATCAACGCCTGAGATAAAGAACTGAGATGGACATATCTGAACATTCAGAGTCACAATCATTTTCTCTGACTCATCTTTTTTTTCTGTAGGAGAATCAATTATTTATGCATTAATCCTCACAGATGAGACATGTCTCACTGTTAATGAGGACACTGTCGTCTCCTGTCTTTTCAACTAGATTCTATCGGTTTTTTTGGCAACTCTTCAAGGTCTAAATGTCTGAATTATATCCTTATTTCATCTTTACAGATCCCATTGTTTGCCCCCTCTCTCTTTGCATATCCACAAATGAACCATGATGCCTAATTTTACCCTTGTTTATTGTATCTTGAGAAATTTGGTCTATAAATGATAATTTAGAGGCAGTGTTGTATTAGTGACCTTGCCCAGCTGTTAATTTTGAAACCTATTTATTATAAAGTACCACAATTTGTTCATATACCCTTCATTACGCCCTTCCTTCCCCTGTCTAAAGTTGAATTTTAGCTCTTTTGCTCTTGCAGGCGATCATTTTTCCCATGAATAAGTCGCTAAATAATTGATGTGCTCATTTCATACAGATGAGCTAATCACAGAGTTCTGAGTTTATAATTATAAAGGCAGGACAAAAGATATTAGATTCAATTAAGGCATAATCTGGATGCTGATTTGACCACCCCTCCTTTTGCTGAGGTCAAGTATTAATCGCTAATGTTCTTCTAGTGTTGGTGTTGGCTCTTTGTTAGAAACAGAGATGTATTGTTCAGTCAGAGGATTACATGCTCTCATCGTGGACAATTATCGTCTATTAATTTGGGGCTTTAATGTTTTTTTTTTTATACAATAATTTTTCTTCGGGTGAAATGTTCCTATGCCATGTAGCTTCAGTGGGTGCACAAGTTTGAGTTTATTATGGATTTGCTCTAATCTTCACAGTCTCAGGGTTTCCGCACGGTACTAAAAGGTAGTAAATTAAATTAGCTCAAATTAAGGCCAGTAAAAGATAATACTGACCCCTACTGGTGAGTTACTGAAATTGTTGCTAAACAGTGACTGCTGAGGAATAACAAATGGTATACTGTTTTTAATAAAAATTAATGAATCAGTGGAGTCAAATTAAAATTGAATACTATTTGGCTTTTTGCAGGTTGACAAAAGTCAGTCATAAAAAGTGTGTTGCAAATCAGATAATTCATATGTGATTTAGAGACGACCGTATGAGAGGGATTGCAATTCGCCATTCGGCCACAGCACATGGTTCAGCCAGCATTGAGAGAGTTCATCATCATTTCATTTTATATCAGTTGGCACAGGATTAAACCCATATGACTCAAAGAGTAAAAGTAACGCATCCGGCAGAAAAAACAGGTGACTTCCTGTTGGAGGGGGGCGGGGATTACGTGATGTCACCAATTGACCATGTGTCTGTGATCAGGGCTGGTCTATAATGAGACATAAAAAGTCTGATGCAGTGGTGACCTTGTATGTGGAAGTTATTGCACCTTGATGTTTCATGGCGAATAGTCACAGTTTCACACTTAGCCACGCCCACATGCTTTGATGTACAAAAAAACTGTAGGGCAACTTTTGACCTACTATGCCTCAAGAGTGTGCTGAGTGATTTTGAAGTCTGTATGTCAAACGCTGTAGGACGAGTTCAATCAGATACTACGTCAATAAAATGGACATGATGGCGGCTTTGACCCAAAATGACTGACTTCCTGTTGGGTTTGGACCATGGCTCCCAGAGACTTTTTTGTAGGTTCTGACAAGATACACATGTGTACCAAGTGTCATAATCTTGGGTTAAAGCATGGCTTGGGGCTGATCATTTAAAAACTTCTAGGGAGGGCTGTAGAGAAATTAGGCCACGCCCACCAAGGATTCTTATGGATTCCTGTCCGGGGTTGGATGTGACCTGTCACTTCACTGCGCCGCTATGGCCACACCCTCCATTGAAAACTCTTGGCGCTTTAAAGCAAATGAGACCAATTGAGATCTGTCATCCAACATAAAATCATCTTGATTAGGTCAACAGAGCCCGAGATGGAGCTTTCCAAGAAAAAAACAGGCCCTTCCTGTGAGGAGGGGGCGGGGTTTAGATGACATCAGACTATGATGATATCATCAGGCATCCAACCAGGATCACTCATGCCTAGTTTGGTGCAGCTCGGTCGAAACATGTGGAATCTAGAGCCAAACATATGACAATGGCGTTACAGGTCACTTCGCCATGCCGCCACACCCACCTACTCCATCGAAACCGGTCAGGGTTGGAATACACATCACACCCACATGTCTTCTGTCTCTGGACACAGTTTCATGTTGATTAGGTCAAAGGGATCAGATATAACAGTAAAACATGACACTTCTTGTTCTCAGGGGGCATGGCTTAAATGATTTTATCATTTTACCATTGGATATTGTAGGTCACCCAATGATAATCAATCACTGAAAGTATGGTGCCTATGTGAGTTTTTGGGCAAGATATAAAGGTTTTGTGTTTCATGGTGAGTACGCAAACTTTGACCCCTGGCAACGCCCGTTCAGCATGCACGAAAACTCACCATTTTGACAACTTAAAATCAGACATGCCTTATGAACAATCTGACCAAATTTGAAGCCGATCAATCGAAATTCCTAGGAGGAGTTCAGTTAAATGCGGAGGGTGTAAACGGCCAAAATGGGGTCAAAATCAGACCTTTAATCCAAAATGGCCGACTTCCTGTTTGGTGTAGAGCATGGTCACAAGAGACTTTTCTGTGCATCTTGGGGAGTTGTTCAAGTGTGCCAAATTTCATGTCTCTACGATAAACTAAGGTCAATGGGAAGGGTGTTTTGAAACTTTCTATGGGGCACTGTTGAGCCATTTCTGTTGCGATTTTTGAGTCTACCTTAAAATACGTAGATTTTGCGCAATCCATAAGGGCAGATCTATTCAGTCTAATTCTATAATTTGTGCTTTATTATTTATTTTACATTATATTTAGAATAATTAGACGTTCTGAACCGTTTCAGAGAAGTTTTGTTGTGGTTCACTTTCAAACTAAGATCAGACAAGTAATTAAAGGGTAGAAATATTGCTTGCAAAATATTGTAAATATATAATATATATGTGAATATATTGTGTATAAATATTTAAAACGTGACGTGAGCTCAAAGTGCGATACTACAGTTAGCTTACCAAAGAATTGTATTTAAAAATAATAGTGGATAAATGGCTTAAGACCATTTATACCACAGCAGGTACGGAAAACCACAAACGCAAAACTTCAATCATATAGAAATCTGTTGTTAATCATTTGTTTAATCATGTTAAACAAATAAAAAATATTACTTATTAAGTATTTAGTCTTTATTTCAGCTTGACTCATGCAGAACTGATCTGATTGTTTCCATAGCATCGATCAGAAGCAAGACCTTGCCCCAGAAGTCCAGTGAGCTCACTGATGATAGCCTCATATACATTACAATAGATCAAAGAAGTTCTAAAGCTTGCACATCTTGCCGCCAACATTGAGCCCACAAGCAGCAACATCAGCATTCATCATGTTCCGATCTGTAGCGGCCAACGTGTGCAAGTGTTTCGACAAAATCTGGTTTCAGAGCCAAAGACGGGATGACTTCCTTGACTTGCCCAACACATCGGACACAGAGCTACTAAGTGCCTCGAGGCTGACTGAAAACATGTGACGCCTCGATCGAGGTTTCAGACCTGTGACAAACTTCATGAGGAACCTGTCTGCCTTATCCAGCTGGTACTCTGTTTACACGTCTGCCATTGCCTTCATTGAGCCTATTTGGGAAGTTATAGTTGGTTCTTGATGTTGCTCAGAAAGCTCAGAATCTGGACAACATCTTTGAGAAGATAAAAAATCTGTTCATGTGGGTCCAGCCAGAGTTGACTCAAAAGCCCCATGTGGGACTGTGGGTGGCCTTTATCTCCTGGTGCCTTGTTACCTTAGCAGCTGCTGGGCTTCATCATAGGTGTTTATGCAGGTATGAAGTTCTTCATCATTGACTTCATCTTTAAAAGTTGCTATGGGAATCTCCATAGCAATGCCTACCACCCAAAAGCCGATGGTGTTTGGTTCCATGATGCACAGAGATGAGGCGTTTGATGCCATCTCCTCCCGGCAAACAAAGCTGGTTGAAAAGGCTTGAGCCAAAGATCCAGAGACATAGTGCGAGATCGTCCTCAATGTACTGTTAAGAATTTGGGTTGCTGTCCTTCACAATATTTTTTCAAAGTGACTTAAAGTAGCTACTTTGGAGTACTCTGGAATGAGTTCCCTGCTGTTGGAGGTGAATCCACTGTCTGTGCAGTCTGGATCAGCAGAACCTCGTCTTTAGTCTGCATACTGCGAGTACAGGGTGACTCTGGAGCTGAGTACACATGCGCTGATGAGACTCCAGGTGGTTTTGAATTCAGCTTTACAG